TGTCTTTTGTTATGGGCTAACAGATTGGCTAATCCTGTTTATTTGCAAAATGATAAACAAAATAATGATTGCACTTCTTTTCCATTTGTATACATCTATGCACATTACATGGAAGGGCTTTTTAGGTATCGATGTGTAGATTAGCATCTCTAAGCTTGTGCATGGCCTATCGCACTGCTATATTTCTCTTGGACGATAATCATCCTACCAATCAGATTTTGTCTGAATTTCTCTTTAGATTCGGCTGGTAAATAACATTTAGGTACAAACCCTACCATTTCACACTTCCATCTCTAAGACTTGTCTACGTGTGATTCATCTAAAATACTGGCAAACAAATTAGTCACAGGTCTCAGCCGAGGTTGCTGTCCGAAAAATCACCTTATAATGATTTGCCTAATGTGTAAATAAATAAGTGGTTTAGTAAATAGTGTACTCACGTGCTCATAGTGTAGGAATTGATAAATAAGTATTTTCGTTTTCCTGTTAAGTTTGTATATTCATATAGCTAAGGAAGAATGGCATTATAGGATAGCAGTGGCATTTAGTCTCTAAACTTCTATATTTCATTTTTACCCACATTGCAGCCTTTAGCCGCGAGCCACGTATTGTGGCTTACCTCGAGTCTCAGAGCTATATCGAAGAGCTTCAGCGCTTTATCGAGGATACAAACTACAAAACTTCACTCGAACTAGAACCTGATCAACATCAACACTCTCTTGGTCCATCCAACCATGAGGAAGTGAGACAATCCCATCAAAACAATTCCCTTCCTCAGCAGCAGTGGTCCCGATACAATACCTATGGACATTTTGGACCGAACGGAAATAGCCGAGACCTGATTTGCGTAAACGGACCACCTAACAGCCAAGTTAAAACAAGAGTTGCCAACCCCAACATTCCTATTAACATCAATTCCAAATCTTCTAACCATCGAGGTTGTATTTATGCTGTGGCCTCCTCGAGGCAAAGTTCCTTTACTGCGGCTGCAAATTTGAACTCTTCTAGTCATTCGATGCCAAAACAGACAGAGCCTGGATGGAAGAATCCAGATAGAAACCTAGGAGCGCTTTCAGATGGCTATATTTCAACTCCAGTCCTTTCGCCTACAGTTATCTCTGTCAGCAGTCCTATCGAGACGGGTAAGTGTATGAAATGAATGGCTACCACTTCTCGTTTTTCTGGCCTTGAAAAAGAGCAGTTAGGATTAAGGATTAAATTTTTAGGGAAATCTTTTGAAAGGACTACTTTCAAGGAACTATAAAAGCAGGTTTTGTTTATTACCTCCTTACACTCCTATTCTTTTGTTTTTGCATAGATCATTAATCATTAGCTTAATGTGCTCATATGTCTTTTACTGAAAGCTAGTTTCAGGGTTTATGCATCAAAGTTCAACATTTCAACAAACAGGATTTACGCTATTGTATAGAACTAAATAACTGTGCTTATTCGCCTTCCCCGATGCGAGTTGTTTTTCTTTTAA